TTCAAAATGGCGGTTCGGGAAGCAGAGCGGGAACGCGCCGGCCAATCAGCGCGCTGCGCGGGGAGTTGGCGCGCGCGGGCGGGCGGGCGGGCGGGGGAGGCGGGGCGGGGCGGGCGGGGCGGCGGCGTCTCCCGGGGGGGCGGGGCAGGGCCGCCGGGGTCTTCTCGCCGCCGCTGGTTGGGGAGCTGACCCGGGTCGCGTGGCGGGCCGGGTGACGCGCTCGAGCGGGGCTTCCGAGCGGAACGGTCGGACGCTAGGGGGCCCTGCGGGCTTGTCGCCTGCCGCGGCCGTTCGGTGAGGAGATGACGGACCGTGCTGGGCCGCGGAGCTGGGGGGCGGCTGGCGGCGGCGAAGTGGCCGGACCCGCGGGAGTCTCTCCTGCCCTGAGCAGCGGCCCCGCGGAGGGGCTCGACGGGGAGCCATCACGTCTGTCTCCTAGGGATCGCTGTAGGGGAAGGCTCCCCAGTGTGACCTACGTGTGAGGATTCCGCGCCGCCCGCACGCCGCACCGTGACAGGGACCCAGCGCGTTTAGCGCTCACACCACCAGCGACGTAAATAGTTTCATACCAGTGAATGTAAGGCGAATCCATTCTCTTCCTTTCCCTGTCTCTCGGTCTTCCCCCTAATGCAAATGCGGTATTGTCCAGTCCACACCCTCAGGTCAAGAATTCTAGGCTAGCCGCACCCACACCTTTTCGATTCCACACTTTAAAAACTCCAGTGCCCCCTCACGTGCTGACCTGGGTGTAATTGTCTTCTTTTTCTCCCTACCCCGAGAACACCAGCTGTCTAAATGACCGCCCTCTTTTCTTTTTATCCAGTATACTTTGTGGAAATATAATTAGTTACATTTGCCGTAAAGAACTCCAACTTGCAGGACAAAAAAAAAAAAAGACTTTTTTCTTTTGTGTCCCTATTTGAAACATAAGCAAAGTCCTGTTATTTCTGCTCTCAGATCGCAGGTCGGTTCCCATTCTATTAACTCTGCTCACATTCCTTGCGCTCCTCTTCAGAGCCCTTCCAAGTCGCTTGTCTGCCTCCTCCCAATGGTCACACCCCAGCTGAAGCCATCTTACTTGCTTTGACACTTCTCTTGGCTTAAAACATCTGGTGGTCCCAACACAATTGGAATAATCTCCAAAGTTTTTGTTACAGAGTGTAAGAAGCTACATAATCCACCCGCTGACCCCCATATAGCCCTGACATGCTGGCCGTTTAGTCACACAGGCCTTACCTGACGTTCCTTCACCTGGCTGTCATTCATACTACCTGGTCTCTACGCTTAGTAACGCTTCTGCTACCAGGGCTGCGTTTTCTGTTACTCTTCAGTTCACTTGCTCCTTCCCATCACTTATTTCTGCTCAAGTGTTTTTCCGCCCTCAAGGCCATCAACGTTTAGACAGCAATCTCATTCATTCATTTATAAGTACTAAGTCCCGTCCACCACTAGGGATTGGAGTAGGGCTAACTGCCTGCCATCTTGAAGTCTGTGGTGGAGACAGTGAGCAAACACACATATCTTGTAACAATTAAAGGGAGATTTGTAGCACCAGCAGGGCAGGTGGGTTTGTTTTTTAAAAGTTCAACAATTAAGGGAAATTTTGTTAATAAAATGACATTTGAAAAAAGAACTCAAAATGAGAGCAGAAACAGAGCCAAGGTATGCTCTAAAGAATTATCTAGGAGGCCCGTGATCCCAGTACTCTGGAGGCAGGCAGATTCTGTGACTTTGAGGCCAGCCTTGTCTACAAAGCAAGTCCAGAACAGCCAAGGCTACACAGAGAAATCCTGTCTCGAAAAACGGACCCCCCCCCATACGGAAATTACTGGATGTGGGAAATGAGGATAAGAAATCAATGATGACTGGGTTTTTGTTCAGACAACTGTAAAGTGAGGGCCTTTTGGGATAAGGAAGACTTAAGGAAATGGGGTGGACAAGCTTTTTTTTAGAGAAAGCTTGTGGGAGATCTGAACTTACTTGGTATTAGAGATGAGATCTATGTTAGGATCGAGATTTTTCATCAAATGGAAATTAAAAATATACAATTAGAGGTATCAAGAAGTGGAGTTAGCCGGCTGGTGGTGGACACGTCTTTAATCCCAGCGCTCAGGAGACAGAGGCAGGCAGATCTCTGAGTTTGAGCCCAGCCTGATTTACATAGTAAGTTCCAGGGAAACCCTGTCTGGAAAAAGCAAAAACAAACAAACAAACAAAATAAGCAGTTGGATATGAGTGTCTAGCAATTAAAGGAAGAAGCAAATAGTAACTCAAGATACAAACTTAGCAGTTGTCAACATGTAGTTGGTATTTAAAGCCCTGACACTGGATAGGGTCACAAACAGGATGAATAAAGATAGTGATGAGAAATGAATATAAGGAGCAAGGAGAGAGAGTTTTGAGACTGAACCCCTGAATGCTCCAGGGGTTATGGGTCTAAGAGAGGAAGGAAAGCCAGCTAAGAAGCTGGAGAGCATCTGTAGCCAGTGACGGAGGAAAATGAAAGCTGTGTCCCAGGAGCCAAGTGACCTCTTCACTAACAGTGTCTTCCAAGGACAGAGTGACCATTTGGAGGAGATGCAAATGGAAAATTGACCACTGATTATAACAACACTCTCAGTGACCTGGATGCGCTTTCTCTGTTAGGTAGTCGTGTATAAAGGGGCCAGTAGTGGGGATAAAAATTAAGTTCAGACACTTTCCAGGAATTTATCTTTACAGGGAGTCTAAAAAAGCAGTAGTTCAAAGGGACTCTGCTTTTTAAGGAAGATGTCACTACTGTGTTGTGGTAGGAGTGAACTGGTAGAGAGAAGCATTGATAATGCAAAGGAAGGCAGGCACAGCAGCTGGCACCACAGAAGTAGCTTTGTCAGGTTGGCTTCTCTCTGAGCAGACGCAGAAACAGAATTTGGAGCACTAAATATTTTTTTAAGGGGTCAAGACCTAGAGTGGAAGGAGAAGGAAGCAAGATTGGACAGAGGAAGAATGTAGCTGAACCCACAAAACGTCAGCCAATAGTGGAGTTGTGGAGTGAGTACTGCCCTTCAGAGGGCCTGAATGCTGGTCCCCAAATTGCTCGGTCCTTGACTACAGGCTGCTCCAGGAAGGACATGAGTTTGGGGAGGGGGAGCGGAGAATGACACCTTTGATACATCCTAAAGGAGCGATAGATGGAGGCCACAGCTTTACAGCTGGGAAGGATCCGAGTGGCACCAGCCCAGCCTGGCAGAGGAGATAAAAGGACATAGGAAGGACCTAGCACACAAGTGGAAGAGTTGTCCTCAGTAAGATAGCACACATCCCTTAATCTGTGTGTTGCTGAGGGCCTGGGGCTCGGTAATGGATAAACAATAGAGGTTTATTTGGTTTATGGTTCTGGAGGCCAAGAAGTCCAAAAGCATGCTGCCAGTAACTATGAGAGGCCTTACTGCTATGTCATTTCAGAAGAGTACATCACATCAGTGAGAGAGCAGCTGTGCTAGCTCAGATCTCTCAGAGGCTTTTCTAACCCTAATATGTTTTCACCACATGAAATTTGGGCAACATATTCATATCATAGCAACAAGGTAACACAAGGGAATTCAGAAGCTATGCATGCATTAAAATTCAGAGTGGCAGATATAATGAAAGTTTTAGAAGTTCTGATTTCTGTTAAGTTGCTTAATAAATTTAAGTATAAAGTCGCTGATAGTGAATGAGTTCAAGAGAAGGTTGCTGGAGGTTTGAGGAGACTGGAAATTGAACTTGTTTTGTAGGTGAATGGAAGATGACAAGATTAAGCAGGTAGCATTGCTAGGCAGCTGCAAGGACCCATTGAGATTTGTGGTTGTGAAATCAATGACTTCAGGTTTATTGTTATTATATCTGGCTATTTAGTGGTAGGTACACAGATGGCAAGAAGGAAGGAAGGGAGAGGGACAGAAAACACATTTAACCTGGTTGGAATTTTTCTAAGCAAATAGGGAGGTTTAAATAAAAGGGCAAAGGTTGATTGAGTTGAGGATATTCATAGATAGTGAATATTGGACTACAGACCCTGACTAAGAAGGGAAGTAAGGGCAAGAGAGTAAACTTAGAAGGGGCCAGGGTTAGTGAGATCTTTCCTTTCTTAACGTTTTTATCAGCACCTGCAAATTCTGTTTTACTGTGTCTTCCTCTTTAAAATGTAGCGCCCAGATGCTGTAGGTTTTCTTTGCCTCATTCATCACTATCCTTAGCACAAAAAGCCTTGCCTAATGAATGACTGCAAGCCAAATTAAATTTTTACTCTGAGGATCTAGTATATCTTGTTAATAATGTGGCTGAAAGCAATGCTCTTCAAGATACAACAAGCTATTTCAGTTGTCCTGCAGTCAAGGTTTACTTTTGCTCTATGAAACTCTGGTCTGTTCAGGCAGCTCTCTAGGGCTTCCATTCATGGAATTTATTCATTGCTGCAGGCTACTTTGATCTTAAAAGATCTGCCATCTCAGCCTGAGTCCTTTATGTTCCTGATAGTCGGGGAAGGGCAGGAGGAGTCACAGCTGCTGCTCTGCTGTGAGCCTGGTTAGTGGTCAGTCACAGGACAGCCCAGCTGCAAGATGTGGTGGGTGTG